GCCGGCGATGGCGTAGGCTGCAGCCCCTGCTGCAGTGGGTTGCCATGGGCTACCGTATGTACCCAGCAGCCAGTGTGAGCGGCCCTCAAGCCGCCGTGAGCGGCCGCCCAGAAGCCAGCGACTGATCTGCCTCATCTGGGAAGAGCGCAATGATGGTGCCAACTTGGGCCACTGAAGCAACATCCACAACTAGACTGAAGAACAAAAAGAGAGCAACTTGTCTGTTCCCCTTCCCCCAATTCCCCAGCGCTGTTCCCATCCCCCAATTCCCCAATAAAAAAATCTTAAAAAAAAAAAAGAATTCAAAGAAATTTTCATAAGGATGCTCACTAAATTGAGAGCGGAATAGAAGACTTTAGGAAGCCCTTCAACAAAGAGTTAGAAAGTATAATTATGAACCAAGCAGAGCTGAAGAATACAAAAAGTGAAATGAAAAATACATTAGAAGGAATCAACAGCAGATTATCTAATTCAGAAAAACAAATCAGAGGCCTGGAGGACAAATGAGTAGAAATCAACCAATTGAAATAGCAGAAAGAAAAGATTTTTTAAAAACAAGGATAGTTTACAGGACCTCTGGGATAACATCAAGTACTCAAACATTCACATTATAGGAACTGCAGAAGGAAAAGAGAGAAAGGAACAGAAACACTATTTAATAAATTAATGGCTGAAAACTTTTCTAACCTGGGAAATGAACAGATAGATATCCAAGTTAGGAAGCACAGAGAGTTCCAAACAAGATGAACCCAAAGAGATCCACACCATAACATACTGTAATTAAAATAGCAAAAGTTAAAGATAAAGAGGAAATCTTGAAGGAAGCAAGTTACATACAAAGGAAACCCCCATAAGGCTATTATAGGATTTCTCAGCAGCAACTTTACAGGCCAGAAGGAAGTGACAGGACATCTTTGAAGTGTTGAAAGAAAGGAACCTACAACTTAGAATAATTCACCTAGCAAGGCTAGCATTTAGAAATGAAAGAGAGATAAAGAATGTCCCGGATAAGCAAAAACTAAAGGAGTTCATCACCATTAAATCAGCTTTACAAGTAATGTACAAGGGTCTTCTTTAAGCAGAAAAAGAAAGGACATAACCAGAAATAAGAAAATATGAGAAAGGAAAAATGTCACAAGTAAAGACAAATATTTAATGAATACAGCAAATCAGACATTTACAAAGCTACTACTAAGGTCAAGAGAAAAAATATCAAACTCAACTCAAACAACAATAAGTAGTTAGGAGATACATAACACAAAAGATCTAAAACATGACATTGGTAACATAAATCATGGAGAGAGGAGTAAAAATTGTAGTCCTTACTGAAATGCCTATCAGCTTAAAATAGATTGCTATAGATATAGAATGATATACACAAACCTCATAGTAACTACAAACCAAAAACTTATAAAAGATATACAAAGAACCAGACAAAGAAACCCCAACAAAACACTAAAGAAAACCAGCAGATCATGAGGAAGAGAGCAAGAGAAGAAGGAACAGAGGGAAACTACAAAAACAACCAAAACACAATGAACAAAATGGCAATAAGTACACACTTATCCATAATTACTTTAAACATACAATAAATGGATTAACTACTCCAATAAAAAGACATGGTTTGGGTGAATGAACTGAAAAACATGACCCATCTATATGCTGTCTTTCAAATCAAAAGACACATACAGACTGAAAGGGAAGGATTGGAAAAACATTCCATGCAAATAGAAATGAAAAGAAAGCTGAGGAAGCAATACTCATATCAGACAAAACAGACTTTAAAACAAACAATGTAAAACAAGAACATTACATAATTATAAAGGGGTCAATTCAAGAAGAGGATATACAATTGTAAATATCTACACACTCAACATAGGACACAGGAACACCTAAATCTATGAAGCAATTATTAATAGACATAAAGGGAGAAATCCACAGTAATATAGTAATAGGGGATTTTCATACCCCATTCACATCAATAGCTAGATCATCCAGACAGAAAATTAACAGAGAAATGGCCTTGAATGTCACATTAGATGATTAACTTAATAGAGACTTATAGACCCTTTTATCTGAAAACTACAGGGCCAGCCGAGTGGCGCATTGGTTAAGAGCTGGCTTGGGATGCCAGAGGGCCCCGGTTCGGATCCCACATATGAGGGCCAGTGACACTGCCCTCCACAGCTAAGATGCTGAACAACAGCTCAACCTGGAGCTGGGCTGCCATGAGTCAGCGTAGGCTGCAGCCCCTGTTGCAGAGGGTTGCCATGGGCTACCGTGTGAAGCCAGAAGCCAGCGTGAGCGGCCAGCAGCCGCAGTGAGCGGCCATCCAGGAGCCGGCGACTGATCTGCCTCGCCCGGGAAGAGCGCAATGATGGCCCCAACTTGGGCCAGTGAAGCGACGTCCTCCACAACTAGACTGAAGAACAAAACGACAGCAACTTGTCTGTTTCCCTTCCCTAATTCCTCAGTGCTGTTCCCATCCCCCAATTCCCCAATAAAAATCTTTAAAAAAACAAAAACAAAAACAAAACTACAGAAGATACAATTTTCTCAAGTGCACATGGGACATTCGCCAGGATAGATCAGACATGAGGCCACAAAATAAGCCTCAATAAATTCCAGAATATTGAATTCATATCAAGCATTTTTTCCCGGCCACAATGGTATGAAACTAGAAGTCAACTATAGAAAGAAAACTGAAAAAACAAACAACTCCACTTTGTGGAGACTAAATAACATGCTACTAAACAACCAATGCATCAAAGAAGAAATTAAAGAGGAAATAAAATATCTTGAAACAAATGAAAACACAACTTTTCAAGATTTCTGGGGATGCAGCAAAAGCAGTTCTAACAGGAAAATTCTGAGCTATACAAGCGTAATGCAAGAAAAAAGAAAAATTCCAAATACACCATCTAACTCTACACCTAACTGAACTAGAAAAAAGAAGAACAAATCCCAAAGTAAACAGAAGGAAGTAGTTAAGATCACAACAGAAATAAATGAAACAGAAATTTAAAAAACAATAGAAAAGAGCAATAAAACCAAGAGCTGGATCTTTGAAAAGATAAAGAAAATCACCAAACCTTTAGCCAAATTCATCAAGGAAAAAAGAGAGCACTCATAAAGTCATAAATGAAAGAGAAGTTACAACCAACACCACAGACACACAAAGAATCATGATAGAATACTAAGAACAATTATATGCCAACAAATTTGACAATCTAGAAAAAACGGATAAATTTAGAAGTATATAACCTTCCAAGACTGAACAAGGAAGAAATAAAAAATCTAAACAAACAGATGAATAAACAAACAAACAAAAAATCAGAAACAGACCTATAGGTACAGAGAACAAGTTGATGGTTGCCAAGGGGAAGGGGGGTGGGAGGATAGGAATAAAAATAAATAAATAAAATAGTGACAACGTCAAATACTGGCCAAAAGGAGGAGGAGGAG